ATAAAAAAAGTAAATAAAGTAGGTTGCTATTTCGTGCATCTAGCGCTATATCTAAAAACAAGAAAGACATTGTTATTTCTAGCTCATGAGTTGCTTACACTAAATGAAAGTACGTTGCTATTTCTTGAACAAGTGGTGTTTATTAGTGTAGAAGATCTCATACCCACAAGCTTAGAGACTTCATTAACATTAGATTTATTATGGATGGTTTGTCTGGTGTTCTGGTATAAACAAATGCAAGTCGGGATCTGTTGAAGAAGATGACATCATTAAAATATTGGAAGTGTTGGAAAAGTTGCAGGAAAGTTTGTGTATTGATAAGGATGTTTTTTCAACAGTTGTTAGGGCCTCGATGCACAATTTACTGATTAAGAAATAGTATTCGTCTGAAAGACATGGATTACAAAAAGAGGACGAAATAATGTAAATGGAATACGTTATATTCATCGGTAATGTTTTATTTAATTTATGTGTGTTTTAAGCCATTTGCTTTAGAAATTATCGATTTAAAATTCTGTTTAATTGAGTTATTTTGGGTTGGAATTTGGGTAATTGGACACATTTGATATAGAACCTAGTTTTACCATTATAGTCATAGGACCATATATATATATATATTTTTTGTTTTGTTTTTTTTATCATATTATCTTCTTTCTCGGTGTCCATGTTGAAAAAACCAGCAAAGGTTTTTATAGAATTCATCCTTAATTAGAATGACTTTTATATCATTTTCCTATTTCGTCTAATGCCTTGGTTGGTGTCACGAAGTTTGCATTTTCACATTTCTTGCATTAGACAATTGAAATAATGACTCTATGTTTACGTGTTTGTGTTTTAACTTTTAAACGCCTCGCCTATATGGATATATCAAAATTATAATTTTATTATTGACATGTCAAATATGGAAAATAAATAAGTAGAATTACAATTTAGTGGTGTTTGTGATTGAGTTTTAAAACTTATTAGTTTTTCAAAAGGTCTAACAAGTTTAAAAAAATATTTGGTAAAACAATGTTTTTCAAAATAGTTTTTTACTGTCTCTAAAAATGAGTTTTTAAGAAGTTACAATATTCTTACTTTTGATGACAACTTATAACTTATTTAGATAAAAAGACTATAATACCCGCTCCCCCATTAAATAAACCTATCCTCTTTATACAAATCTTCCACACTCCCTTCTTGAATACGAGTTCACGCCTTTGATTTGTCTTCAAACATATCATTTTGGGATAATTTCGAATATACCCTTATTAAACGTGTAAATATCGTATTTGCCCGATTTAAACTCTAAATATCATATTTGCCCTTCTTAATGTTTTAAAATATCGTATTTGCCCAAATCTATTTTTTAAATAGTTTTTATTATTTAAGAATCCATTTTTATATTTTAAAATCATTAAAAATAAAAAAGTAACCAAATGGACCACAATACCCTTGCTTTTAAGATTTCTTAGCATGATCGTTCATATGTAACCCTTACCGCGTCTTTTTTTTGGCCTTCTGCCAATTTTTTGTTGCAATCCAATAATTATGAGGTAATTTTATGTTTTTATTTGTTAATTGATTATTTGTTAATTAATTATCAGTCATTAACCTACTTTGTTGTCTTCATCTTGAAGCTGATGAACATTTCCCCACAATTCAACAGGTGTCACAAACATTAGTCTCTTAGTAATCTCCTATTATAATTATCCGGATTCATCATCTAATAAAAAAGAAGAATACAATTAAAAATAAAAATAAAAAACCTTCAAAGTTGTGATTACTTTGCTTTGTGAATGGAATGTGAACAGAGAAGTACACCATATTTGACAAGCTCACTAAGACAACGAGGCCATTTGTACTTATGAGGGTTTTCAAAAAGCATAACTTCGAGTGTCTAAAATGAAAAGTTGAAATGCACAGTCAAGGCAAGTGATTTCGAATACAGGATTGATAAATTTGCATAAAAAACACGTTATATATGAAACAACAACCAGAGCAGTAAAACCTCGTGTGAATGATTCTTTCTATTTATAAATGAAGGGTATTATCGGCTATTTAGTTATTTTTTTAGTTTTAATGACTTAAAATTATAAAAAAATGATTATTAAATAATAAAAAATATTAAAAATATATATTTGGGTAAATTTGATATTTTAAAACATTAACAAGGATAAATATGATATTTAAAGTTTAGGTCGGACAAATACGATATTTAGTCGTTTAATAAGGGTATATACGAAATTCTCCCTATCCTTTTTTGTCATTTAATGTATATAAATTAATCCAAACACTTTAAAAAAATTTATCAACTTATAGTTTTTTGTCGGCACTAATTTAAACATTAACATGGCTTTTATTATTTGGACACACATAACATAAGCCAACTCATTTTGCTTTGTTTTGCCATCTTTAGCATTAGATTTTGCATGCAATTGTGTTTCAATTTGGATTGCAACAAGTCGGGTTTGGGGTTGGTAATGAGTTTTTAACATAATACATCTCAAACAAGCAAGCGTCAAAAGGTCCCTTAATTTAACATTACATGGCTAATATATAGATTGTGCATTCAAAGTATTGATATCTGGCAATCCTTCATTCTATTTTATTGCCAAAGGCCCAAACTATTTATCAACCAATTGTTTTTCAATATGCAAACAGTAAGTTTCACATCCTTCGGTAGATGACTTCTCACGTTTAAACGTTTAAACCCTCCTGCCTAGTGCCTACTTTTTCTGGCAATGTCTTGTCCCTAAATACCGATCATGTGCAAGGCACATGACCATGACCTTATCTTAAACAATGGTGTTTACAAAATTATTGACTACCTCCTTATACATCAATTATCTTGGATTTCAGCTACAACATCCAAACATTTAAAATAAACCTACTCTTAGACAATTGACATTAGTAAATAGTAAGGCAATATCATGGGAAATTTGAGTAGGTCAGTAGTCATGCATGCTTGAACATTTTCATGCTAAGCCAGTATACAGCAACCACAAGCAACGGAAGTGTCAAAGGCACCAAGAAGCAATAATACCTGTTGTGTTGCATCATCAGAAACCAAACCTTGGGATTTAATTATTTAAACAAAAAACATGACATGGTAAACCACTAGACCTCAAATGCCATATCATACCTGTCATTTTGTATTGCAAAGATAATATCCGAATGAGGGACTAGTTTTGATATAACTGCAGTATAAAGAAAACCACCAAAGAAAGTCAGACCCAAATATAACCAACAATCCTCCCCAAAACACTCTCTCGTTGCCACTTATAAATCCTGACATCATCATCACATAATTAATTCCCCAATCCTTTCAACCAAAACCCTACTTCCTGGAGAAAAATAGAAATGATTTAATATATAGATTAATTACATTGAGTTTCATTATTTATATGGCCTAGATATGATAAATTCTAAAGGGCCGGCCCAAGGGCAGGGCGACCTGGGCCACTGCCCTTGGTATCACGTTCTATAGGGCATAACTTTAAGGCTAGTTGTTGCTGTTATACAGAAATTTAGTAGCCCAATCTCGTCAATTCTTGGATCCCGAATGCAACAGCTATTTGCGACTGGGGAGCAGGAGTCAAAGGCGGCAAACAAAAAAATTGGAGGGAATAGAAGAGGAGACAAAAATTTTCATCCATTGCGCCGATAATCAAGATTCACAACGACGCCATTCTTCCTGCCCTTTTAATTAGCGAATCAATTGACAATCTAAGACTTCATTCGAATGGTAATTTCCCATACGCCCTTACCTGCATCTGCGTTTTTATCTTTGCCACTTTGGCTTTCAGTATTAATCGAAATCTCAATTTCATCACCTCTCTTAATTTGTTATTTTGTATTAAGCTCTCATCGTCTGACTCCTCAATCCTCACGGTTCTGCGATAATTCACTCTTTGTAGAAAGAAATCAAAATCGCCCAACTATTTCTGCTTCTTCTCCACAATTTTTAAGTATTTTTTTATTTCTATTTTGTTAAAATCGTATGGTTTGTGCTTTGCAAATATTGTTTTCTTTTTCATATCATCATGTAATTCTTGTTTATCAAATGTTCAGTAAGTATTGACTAAATGTTTAGTGAACTAGTTCTTATTTTGCTCAATGTGTAATTTCTGATAATATCATAAAGGAACTCTTTTTAGTTCTTTAATGTCTATTGTAATTTAATTATTGATTGAAACTGATATTCGTTGAAGGAATGCATAAGTTTACATGCGGGGAAAAGATTTCAAAGATATAACTTCTGAATGAAAATCTGTACAGTGCTGATGTAGATTTTTCGTCATTTGGTCCATAACCAGATAAGAGGACTAGATGTACGTTTATTCAAAGATATTCACAGATTTTAGTCCAAGTAGATGAAAATGATGTAGAGTTTTGCAATTTCTGATTTTCAATACAAATCTATTTCTGATTTTCTAGTTTCCTTTTGTTTTCTAGTTGTTAAAAACATTACATGAACACTAGATACTAAATGCAAGCAGAATAAGTTTGTGTGTATGTTGGTTAGCTAATGTTTATATGGTGTGGCTGGGTTAAACGAACACTAGATGCTAAGATGCTTCTTCACCTACAGAATAATTTGTTTAAATTTTTTTTTAAATCAAATAAGTTTTTATTTGTATTATTATTATTATTATTAGGTGAGGACCGTGTATTATACGGTTGGTTGACATTAACAAAACAATGAGTTATTGTCACTGTAACCCAACAATCTTTAGTATAATGGTTTAAATGGTTCATCGTGGTTTTTTTGCCTTTAAAGGGTATCAATTAGTATTTTACCGGTTATTTTGGTACTTTTACTCACATTAGAAGGTAACACTGCTTTGTTAGGTGCCAAGTAAGCAGGTGAGTCAATAATATCCCTAAAATCTTAAATACCTGCAATACCTATAATCAAACATGGTGCACACTTCTTTAAAAATCTAGACCCACAAGTCGATCAATTAAACCCAGATTCATATTCCTCATTTTTGTCATCAAATCCTTTAGCTCCATCCATGTACCCATCACTCGAGACCAAAGATCTTGTTGAGAAACTGTTCGCGGACTACGATCAAAGCCATGAACAAGAACAACAATCAACCGCTTTTGAATCTTCAGAGGAATTTGTAATCACAATCCTTGGATTAATCGTTCACTCAATCGACAAACAACAAAGCATCCACTTAGCTTCCGGAGTGTTCGAAATAATCTGTCTCCAACAAGGCGACAACGTCATCACGACTCTCGCTCGTGTCGGCGACGAAATCCAGTGGCCGTTAGCCAAGGACGAAGTCGCTGTGAAACTAGAAGGATCTCACTACTTCTTCACACTTTGTGTACCTTCCCAATCCGAAAACGATGTCGCACTGGAGGATTTGTTGAACTACAGTTTGACGATCACCGAAAACTCTTCCGATGAACTTGATAGGGTTTTGGAGGAGTACAGTGTGTTTTCGGTGAAGGAGATAGAGAGGGATGTAGCGATGGAGGGATGTGGTTCTCTAGAGGCTATACGTGTAGATGACGACTCATCGTCTGCCATTGTAGCTCATCGATTTCACCTCCATTTACTGTAGATATCCATAAAACATCATCTCTTTCTTCATCTTCTCCAAAATCAACACAGTTGTTCTGTTCATTGTCATGATTTTGGCCGTTTTGTTCTTCATCTCTAGTTTACTTCACTTACTCGTTAGATTCTTAACAAAACACAACTCTCAATCACATTCATCTCAATCAAATCGATTCCTAGATGTGTCTCCATCCGACAACTCCAACAACTTTTATATTTACACGATTCCAGTTTAGATCAAACATTCTGAAATCGATTCCCAAATGGGTCTCCATCCTTTGATTGTGTTGTTTGTTTATGCGAGTTTTCTGAAAACGATTAAGATTACTCCTAACGTGAAGCATTTGGGGAAAATCGTGAGAGGAGTGAAGAATGTGGTCACTCTCTTGTTCTTTCTCATCTATCTCTATGTATAGAACTTCACAAGCAAAACCAATAAGAAAAGGTGTGAAGACGAAGTTGTGATGATGTATCTGAGGGAATAGGGCAAAGACCTTTGACTTTTGAGGAAAACTGATGATTAGGATGAGGGAAACCAACGTGGCACATGGAAACTGACGATTAGGATGGGGGGGTCACCGGGTGACCCCTTCAAATTTTCCATAATGACCTTTTAAAACCTAAAAACAAAAGTTTGTACCCTTCAAACGCAAAAAAAAAATCATGATGGACCATTTAAACCAATATATTAAACATTGTTGGGCTACAGTGATAATAACCCTAAAACAATCTATAGACTATAAGAATAATAATCATTAATCATGCAAACAAATACTCTCTTATATAATTTGTACATCTAATCATTTAAAGTATCTCACTTGATTAGGTTTTCGATAGTGGTTTATTTATAGCATTTTGAAAACAGAATGTTGATTTTATCTCATTATATCCTGATTTCTTGAGTCACATTTCTTGTTGATTTATCGGGACAAATTTAAAATTGAGAAACAATAAAGTGACACATGATATAATATTAATTAGGATGTATATTAGAATAACACATGACAAAATGAGATTAAAAGTATTCTTTTATTGGTAAACCTAAGGTTATGAATAGATCACAGTCTGTCGAAATATAAGGTTACCATGATGAAACTCAATGTGATGAGATTAAAAGTTTTCTTATAAACTATTAATTGTTACACGGAAGTGATATTTATGTCATGAATGACATGTTAAAATCTTATCTGTGAGCCAACATCCTAACGTCGCGTCGCTCGACGTTTCCACCGCCAGGTCGAGAGTGTGACAGTGTGAGACCCGTGTACTACACGAGTTAATTAAAAAAAAGAACTATTGACATATTGTAAATAATTGTTATGAATCATAAATTTCCAAAAACATCTTTGAATATAACATTAGATGTCATATATTGCTAAGTTTACCGTTAATGTCTAAAATTAATATTTTAAATCCATTTTAACTTTTAACTCGGACAATACAATATAGTGAGTATACAACTGACATGAGTGGATATTGGTTGTCTAAAAAACAACCCCACATTCGATAGCGACTGTCATTGACTCTTGTTTATTGTCATCACAAAACATATAGTCAGTGGAAATTGTCTTCTTTGAAATGTAAAAAAAAAAAAAAAACTTTTTATCCGAAGACGTCAAAAACATTCTTGGAATAAACGTACGGTTTCCTATAATACTTCCGAAAATCATCTTTGTTTCTATAACATGTTTATCCAATGTTATAACTTCCGAAAATCATCTTTGTTGCTATAACATGTTTATCCAATGTTATAACACGTATCCTCTTTATTTTTTGTTCGTGCTTATTTTTAACGTTTTGACATAACTTTTATCAATACAATTGTCAATTCGTCGAAACGTAAAAAAATAAGCACGTACATAAAAATAAACATAAAAACATAAAAAAATATGACGAAACGTAGAAGAATTCGAATTCATTTCGACACTTACATAAAAAGGCAAGTAAGTTTTTGTAAAATTAATGAACGAAAGTTCTAAATTTACGTCGAAACTTTGACCACATTGAATTTATACCAACACATACATAAATATAAGCACGTAAAAAATTATTATTTTTCAAGTTAACAAACGAAAATTATTATATATGACCGGATTCATGTGTAGGAAACGTACATAAAATTAAGCATGAAGACGTAAAAAAATACATCGAAACGTAGACAAACTCAAATATAATACATTTTTTTAAGTTAACGAACGAAAATTATTATATGTGACTTGACTCATACTTAGGAAACGTATATAAAATTAAACACTAAAACATAAAAAAAATAAAAAAATAATAATAATAATAAATTACGTCGAAACATAGACAAACTTGAAGTTAACCTAACACGTGCATAAAGAGATAGGAATTTATAATTAGAATGTTACTATCTACATTAGTATACATTAATTAATATATTAATAGAAATAGAAATTCACAAATAAAATACTACTATGTACATTAATTATATTAATAAAATTAATTAATATGAGTTGACATTTAATAGATGCAATTTCAATAAAAAAAGGAAAAAAGAAATACAAAAATGACAAAGAGAAAAAAAAAATCTAAAATTCTCAGAAAATGACATGCGTTGAATTCAATTAGAAGTTGATATTTGGAAAAAATAATCTTTATTTATTATGATAGATTAATATAGGGATATTTTTTAGCACTTATTAGGAGTACAAGTAGGAAGATATGATAGAAGGATATTTAACCTTTATATTATAACATGCAAACATAATCAAACTTAAAAACATAAGCTCAAACTCAAATCCGTTTAATAAACACGCATAAAGGAACTAAAGAATCACCATATAACCCTTTCATTGGTAATCTAGGAGGGTGTTCGGGTGTTAATTTGAAAATGATTTTTTAATTTATTGACTTCTTGAAAAAGTTAATAAGTTAAAAAAAATGTTTAGGTATTGAAAAAGGCTTTTTAAAACAACTTTTAGTTTAGTCTTTCAAAAGGAATTTTAAAAGAAGTCTCAAATTATAACTTTTTGAAATAAATTTTGACTTATTAGGTTTACAAATCAACTAGAGACAAAATTACCATTAACTATCATCACAAAGCCTCCATTGACAACCTCATCGTGTTCTGCTTCTTTCGTCAAGGATGTCGCCTCCTGTAACACTCGACTAAAATAAGTACACTAATTTTTTTGTGTAACAAAAGTGTACATATCATTAACCAAATTCACAAGTTTATATCTTATATAATTAAAAACTACAGGATCGAGCCATGATTACAAAACATTATTTACATCATTAAGTTAAGTTCAAAAGTTAACTTCAAAACATGACTACACCTTCACCACTGCTCCTCGATCCGTATGCATATTACCTGTAAACACAAACAATCAACAATATGAGAATAATGCTTACTGAGTAACAATTGTTACCATATTATTTACATCTATCTCATTTGCTCAATATTAGGTAGTATTACTCAATTATTAACATTTGTTTCATTTCCACAACAACAATCTCATAAGGAGGCTGCAATATGATCAATACTTATTGATTATGGAATACTCGTTTCCATATCTACCGGTCATCCTTACTAACTCATCTTTTAAATACAATCTCGTGTAATCAACTCAATAGTCTCATCGATCAATACAATCTCGTGTAGTCAACTCAATAGTTTGACCAGTCATCTCATTTGTACATTTTTGAATCTTTTAATTATAACACTTATTTCTCATTTAACCAACATACTTTCATAACCTTTATCTAAGTTAATCTTTTCATTATAACCACAACATCACAACATAATTTACATCGAACAATTTTAATAAGCCAACAACGTTAAACATCTACTATCATGAGTAAAAGAAAATTACTCACCTTAACTAGGGTTTATGACGTGTGACATCCTCAAAATTCATGCCAATTTAAAACTTTTTAAAACATTTAAAGACCAATAATTATTACAAATTTGTTTTCAAAATAGTTTCATGTCAGAGTATCCCAGAATCAAATCATAAAATATAAGGAGGTGCACGATCACGCCTTCACTTTCCCGCGATCATCAGAAGTACCTGAAACAAAATCAACAACTATAAGCCCGAAGCTTAGTGAGTTCCCCTAAAATACTAACGCCATACAAACCATAACAATATCATACAAACAGCATGCATAATGAGCCATCAGGCTGACTGGACCACCTCGCAGGCCATCAGTCTATCTGGACCGCTCTCCGAGCCATTGACACGTCTGGACCGCCTCGCGGGCCTTCAGCCTATCCGGACCGCTCGTCGGGCCTTCGGCCTGACTAGTACGCCTTAACCGGGTGTGCAGTCTATCCGGTCCGCCCTGGGTATGTGCACATAAATATCATACGCTAGCTAGCATGTATAGATAGTCATACAGATCTAACATATCACTATTCATATCATCATCCTATAACCAGGATACCGATCTAACATATCACTAACATAGCATAATCCTATAACCATGATATCGATCTAACAGATCACTAACATAGCATAATCCTATAACCAGGATATAAATCATAAAGGGTCGGCCTTGGTGCCTTAGACCCTGTTGATATAGTGAGAAGAACTCACCTCACAAGTAGTTGTATATCAATATTTATGTATGTGTTGGTACAAATCACTATTCTCCGACCGCTGTCTCACCGAAAATCCCGAACTATCCAAAATAACGAATACTAAGTCAACAATTGGTATATCAATCTTGACCAAGGGTCCCACATAGGGTAATTGTCCATTATTGCCTTTTCTCTAATTTGGGCCAAGGCCCAATACCAAATCCATGATTTAAAAGTCATATATCCAAAGCCCATTAATGGACCAATTTTCGCAATTGGGCCCAACTCCCTAATTGGGCCTTATTCTAAGATCCATTACCAAAACTGGCCCAAAACACAATTATTCTGAAAGTCCAGCAAAGCCCAAGTCCAACTGGTCCAAAGGCGGCCCAATCCCGAAGCCCAATTCATCAAAAGCTCAACAGAGGGCGTACCCGGGGCGTACTCCTCTGGTA